TTTCTCTTACGTATAAAGACGCCGACGGCCGGGTACGGCCCGACCACCTTCTACCATGACGGTACGCTCATGTCGTCTACCGCCGGCCTTCTCCTTTGGCTGTAACCTCCGAGACACCAACGCGCGTGTTCACACAGCTATAATTGGTAAATGCCTTTATTGGCTCCGTAGGATGAAACAATCTCATCTAGCCTCGCAGTTAAGTCTACCCTACAATACACAAGTCGATGACATACCCTAAAACATTAGGGATTTTCATCATGGATGAGACGTCATACCTCATGTTCCACAGTCACCTTTTTTCTTTTTTTCCTGGTTCCTCTTTTCTTGTATCCCTCTGCTATATTAGATTTGCTGTTATTGCTTTTGCCTTCGTCAGCCGGTCATGGCTGGATATCCGGATACTACACATGCTATCATGAAGACCTGTCGATTTCAACCCTCTCATATTTTCATCTTTGCCATGTGCTATGACATACTATGTATGAGTGGCTTGAAGAGGCTGTGCGAGTACTGCGACCCTATTTGAGATGTCCTTAACCATGGTTCGAATCACATATCACATGAAGTTCGTCACATCGATGACACATGATGCCACTTCTCCTTAGGGCTTGGCTAGATTTTCAAGAAATAACCCAGGCAAAGCCTCATCCCTATGGTCGGCGTATATACGACCTATCATGGAGTTGCTTTTTCAGGTACCGGTTGGCAGGACTGGATATCAAATGATCGTAGGCTTAGCTCACAAGCCCGACCTAAGGGAGCATCAACTGAACGGCTGGTTTTTATCTTACGTATGCGGTATTCGCTCCTATATGCTCGGTTGGCTTTCATCCCTTCTTGTCCTTCTAAGTATCTACCTCTTGATGGTCACAAGTTGCCCCCTCTAACAAGGAATCTCGAGCACATGCCCGCAAACTCTACCCCTAGACTTAGAAATCTCTTGGAACCCCTATACTTCTAGCTGTATATCTAAAGCTCATCTCACATTTAAACCCAAAGAAAGTCTACATATTCTCAGAACTTCAAATGTAATCCTATGCACCTATCGACTGAAGTTAGCTCGGCTTCGACTTACTTACCTTTTTAACTATACGTGTTCTAGTAGACTACCTAGGAAACCCGGCAAGATGACGAATCCCACAACCGCGATAGCTATCAAGAACAACACGGGCTCGTCCCAGGCATACGCCTATATCACCGGCCTGGACCTTAACAACAACAACGTCCCGCTGTTCATCCAAGCCGACGGCAATACCGTGTACCGGCCGGCATCCCCGTCTGCACCCCAGTCGGCCCTCGAAGCCGATGTCTCCATCCCGCTCGGCGCTCCCGGTGCCTCAACCACCATCACGATACCCCAAATCGCTGGTGGCCGCATCTGGTTCAGCACAGGCTCCAAGCTGACGTTCCTGCTGAACCCGGGCCCTGCCGTCGTCGAGCCCAGCGTGACTAACTCCTCGGACCCCAACTACAACATCGCATGGGGCTTCTGCGAGTTCACGTACAATTCGCAGCAGCTGTTCGTTAACATCAGTTACGTGGACTTCGTGGGCCCGCTTCCCATCGCCCTCGAGCTGCGCAACACCGCCGGCGACGTCCAGACCGTCCAGGGCATGCCCGCGGGCGGCCTGGACACGGTTGCCGACAAGCTGACGCAGCAGAACGCGGCAGACGGCGCCGGCTGGGACAAGTTGATCGTGAAGGGATCCGACGGCAAGACGCTGCGCGCGCTGAGCCCGAATAGCGGACGTGTGGCGGACGCGAGCTTGTTCCAGGGGTACTACGACGACTACGTCAACCAAGTCTGGAGCAAGTACGCGTCTGCCGACCTGACGATCAACACGCAGGCCTCGTGGGGGGACGTCACCGGGCGGGTGCAAGGCGACCTGCTAACGTTCCCGAACGTGGGCACCTTTGCGAAGCCCAGCGCCGGCGACATATTCAGCTGCTCGACGGGGCCGTTTGGTAGTTACCCCGAGGAGACGCGCGACGAAATGGGGGCGCTGGGCGCGAGGATCGCGGCGGCGTTGAATCGCTCTACGCTGCTGGATGATGCGAAGCAGCCGGATGGGGAGAAGATTGCGAGTTATTATAAGACTAGCCCGACGAACCATTATGCGCGTATCGTATGTCTGCTGGATTTTTATTTATTTTTCTTTTGGCTTGATTGATATACCTCCCCAACCCCCTTTCCCCCTTTCCCTTCCCCTTAACATACATGACTACCTACACAAAAAAACCAAGTCAATTTAATTATACATATTCATATTCATATTCATATTTACTAACGCCCCCTCCCCAGACCCACGAAGTCAACCTCGACGGCCGCGGATACGCCTTCCCCTACGACGACGTGGTGCCCTCGGGCGACGCGGGCCCAGACCAGGCAGGCACCGTCTTCGACGCCAACCCGGAGCTGCTGACGGTGACGATCGGCGGGCCGGCCTCGGGCTCCGACGGCCCCGGGAACGGCGGCAAGGAGAAGGATGGCGGGGACAAGACTAAGACCCCGAGCACTACGCCTGCTTGGCTGAGCAAGCTGAAGAGCCTGCTTGGCGCGCTGAAGAAGATGCTGCATATCAAGTAGGAGAGTTTGATTGCTCTGCATATATGTATGTGTATACCTACCTGGTAACTATTAGCTTTGGCGTCGTATACTCGCTGTAAACATTTTTGGCTTCTTGGGCTCGCCCCGGCGTTAGGGAGGGGAGGGCATTTTGTTTTTTGTCTGCATGGGAATTTGAATTTGAATTCAGGGTCTAGGGTCCGGTCGCTTTCTTCCCTTTGTCTTTCGTTTTCCCTGTGGACTGGTTCTTGCATATTACCATTTTGAGGCTGCATTGCTTTTGGTCCCCTTATACCTTATACCCGGCTATTTAACTGCTTTCTTAGCTGCCCCAGTTTGGATACGGGCAAGGGGGTGGGGGTTATCTGGTTAGTGTTTGTAGTCCGTTGATCTTCGAGGCTGGGTCGAGTGATCCTTTATTATTGCCGTTGCTGTATATAGTTCCCTCATCGTCACTGGCCGCCGTGTATATAGTCTACTTAGCATTAACTTGTCATATATTGTAGCTAGCTGGGTTTAAGCTACGTGGTGTAGGATTGCTGTTCTTTTGTGATGTTGTACATCGTAAACCAGGCAAAATTTCCGTAATTCTATTTGAGATGGGGGTGAAATATTTTACTGTGTCTCGGCCTTGAATATCTACTAGTCATTTCATATTCCCCAAGACCTTGTAAACTTAATCCAAAACATGAGGCGATTTCATGTGGGCATATGGATGAGTTTAGAGACTATGAGCCTATTAGACGGTTGATCTGATAGTATAGGGTTTGGTCTGTTCGGGTCAATATCGCTAAGACGTCTTTAATTTCTGTTGTAGGAAGATACGTACATAGGTAGCGTTTCGATATGGTCAATCTTACGAACCAGGTAGGTAACTCCCTTATTTTTTTCTTAGGGAGACAAAGAGCCATTATGATACCTTATTTGACTCTGCCTAACGAGAGAAAGATGACAGGAAGAGAGCAACAGATTTAATTATTATGAATTTCGACTCTCTGCTATTTATACTATTTCGTTCTCGAAACAGGAACTAGCCGCTAAGACTTTATCAACAAACCAGAAAATCACATCAAATAAATTAAAAGCAAAATATAACAAACAAGAAAGACAGCTACGGTTGACCAAACAGGCCATTGTGCCAAAATGAAAAAAAATCTGTGAGTTTAGCTTAAAAGGGTAGTTAGCCATAGGTTAGCGCAATTAGCTCGATTTATTGCGGTATTTTGCATTTTTATATGGGAAAAATGAATTATTTCTTATAAATATATAGTTATAACGTTATATATAATATGTTTTAAAAAAGTATGTTTATTTTTAACTTTTAAAATTAATTAATTAAATTAAAAAATTTAATTATTAATTTAATTTAATTTTAATTATTACATTTATATATTTAAATAATTTTATAATTTTAATAATTATAATATTATAATTAATATTATTTTATAACTTTAATTAAAGTAAAAATAATTATATAAATTATATGTTTATATAATGTATTATTGTTAAAATATTTAAAGTTTTTTAAAAGTAATTGTTTTAAAAAGTATTACATGTATATATAAGTTTTTAAAATGATAAATATTTAAATACGAAGCGGTTTTTTACTTTTTTTAAAATGCGCGTTTTTTTATTAGTTAAATTTTATACCGTTTATTTGGTAATATTTTTATTTTTATTTTTATTTTTATATTATGTTATAATTTTATGTTTAATTTAATTTAATTTAATTTAAATAACGATGTAATAATTATTTATTTTTATATATTATTTTTATTTAATTATATATATTAATTAAAAATTATACGGTTATATATAATTATTTTAAAGTAAAAAAGTTAAAAACGAGGTTTTTTTAAATGATTTTTAATATATGTATATATGTATATATATATGTATATATATATAAAGTTAATTAATTAATTAATTAATTAAAAAACTATATTATATAAAGTTATTTAATTAATATTTTTTAAAACAATTGTTTTTAAAAAACTTTAAATATTTTAATAATAATATATCGTATAAATATATAATTTAAATATTTATTTTTACTTTAATTAAAGTTATAAAATAATATTAATTATAATATTATAATTGTTAAAATTATAAAATTATTTAAATATATAAATGTAATAATTAAAAATTAAATTAACAATTAATTTTTTTATATTATATTAGTTAAATCAATATTTCTATTATAATAAACCGTAATAAAGCTTGGAAGTATATATTTAATGTTTTTTGAATTGTGGCAAATAACCTCCTACCAATTTTAGTTTAGTGTGCGATTATTTTTTTCATTTTAGCACAGTGGCTTGTCTGGTCAACCGTAACAGCTTCCCCTCAATAGGGTGGATATCAAGTCATGGAAAGTAACGGTAAAAACACCTCATATTACATCATAACTAATAGTAGTAGTAACAGTACAGACGCCGCAAAGTGAAAGACGCTCAAGCTTGACGACAACCCTATACCCATATCGCCGCACTAGACAAACAAGGCGAGCCTCGCGGTTCTCGGAAATCATAGATCGTCATTATCATAAGGTCGACACAACCGGCGAAATTAGTGTCGGTGCAATTTATCCTTGATCTTCTGCCCGATGCTCTTCTTGTCATTGTCCTTCTTGTCGCTATGCTCCGACGCATCATCGTCTTTATCGACTTTCGCGCCGCCGACAGGATGGATCCCCTTCTCCTCTAGCAGACCTGGTTTCCTGTCAGTTATTTACCCCTATATGATGTAGCGTTGTGAACTTACGGTCAGCTTCCCTACCGGCCCCCGGCTTCGTGGCGTCGAAGTCCCCGCCGTCGGCCTGGAGGCCGCTGCTCTTAACGTACTGCTCGCCGGTGCCCTCGCCGGCACTCTTCGCGTTGGGGCCGTCTTCGTCTTCGCCGCTGGTCCCGCTGCTCTTGCTCTCGCTTTCCTCGCCGGGAAGCGGTTTGCTCTCGTCCTTTTCTATTTTACCCGCGTCGCCGCCGTGCTCGCGCGCTATTTCGTCGAGCGGCTTGGGTCCAGGGCCGTCTAGCTTCTGGGCCTCGTTCGGACCGCCCTCGGCGTCGTTGACGTCAGTAGGCGCCGACTTGGGGTTCGTCTTCGGGTCCTCTGGGGTGCGCACGTCGTTCTGAGCCTTGGTTGTGTCGTCGGGTATGCTCTTTGACTTGAGCTCTGTCGACGGGTTGTCTGGCGTGTCCTTGGCCTCTGCTGCAGTGCCTGTCTCCTTAGAGAACTCAGCATCTTTAGTGTATTCTGTTGATCTGCTGACCTCGCCATTGGTTTCGCCGTTGGATTCTGCTTTGGCGGCTTGGACTTTAGGATCCTCTGTTTTGAAAGCTCATGTTAGTTTCTAATTTGTATGATGATATATCTACAGAGGAATGTTACCAATGTTGCCAGCATCGTACGGTTCACCTTTAGAGGTGTCGCCAGTCTGTCCCGAAATAGGCTCTGGGCCGTTTTGCTTATTCTCGCCCCAGACCGCCTTAACAGCCGCAGAAGCCACGTTGCTTACGGTCTCCATGGAGAATTAGATCTTAACAGTAATATGCTAAATAGGTATATAGGTAGGTATAGAGGTATGCAGTAGGGTTAGGTATCCAAGGTCGTATGCTTGGCAGTTAAGAAATATAAAGCTTGTTTATACGCTTAGGTCGTAAAGGGTCGTGTAAATCTGGAGAATTAAGAATAGCCAAGACTAAGTGGCAGGGCAGGTATTATATGGATATATTTGCTACATAGACTACAACAGGGTAGAGGGGGCTTGTCTCTGACGTCTTTTATGATGGCATACGACCGGTTCCCTGTAAGGGAAGAATGACCGCTTAAGACGGCAGGGTGAACGCACAAAGAAGTTCCTTGTAAGCCCCGTATTCCTTCCTTTCGGCGTACGAGGGTATGTGGCTTGCCTAGATGAAGCCGAATCTGGGATTGAAGCTTTGGATTGGTTGCCACTGACCTTAACTACCTAGGTGTATACACTGACCTATATACTGACTTATACGTAAGAGCTATGGGCTACAGCCAAGTAGATATCAAGGCGTCGTATTGATCTCGATCTAGAGACTGAATTTCCAAGGAAGCTTTCGGCCAATGAAGGTAAACCTGACAATCGATTTGGTTACTTCTGCATACGTATGAATGGTCGAGAATAATGTTGCGTATGTAGAACAAGCTTATGCGGGGGGAAGATATGAGGAATACCTAGATGGGCGATGACGTTGGTGGGGTCAAAGAGATATTGACGTCATTGTGTCCCTAGCTCGGAACCGTTTGGAGCTTACATAGGTACCTCTACCTATGTATGAGCTGCAGCAAGAGGCAAGCACCTTTCAGCTGTTTCCACACTTTAACTTTAGACATTTGTTTTAAACGCATATAATAGGTGGCTTCCTTAGGTCCCGGTTACTATTTTGCAATATGCCACTTAAATGACGAAAATCACCCGAAGGAATAATGAATGCCGTTACCAACCGGCTGGGAATCCCAAGATTCTAAACAACCGAAATCAGCCTTGATTAGAGATAGAGTTATTTTTACTGCCTTTGATATTTAGCAACGTTTCTACTATTATTATTAGAAATATTGTGTTAGAAAAGACTCAAAACATTAATACATGTTAGATTTTAATGAATGATATAAAGACTTAACATAGTCATTTAGACTTATTATATGTCTACAACTAATGCAAATTGCTTTGCAAAGGGAATTGAGCATGAGCTTCACTGGGCATAGAGGGGTAAGCTTGATTGCGCCACATGTGGCCGAAGCTTTTTATATGTACTTTCCGGTCATAGATAACCTAGGAGGTAGATAACCAGATAACCGCTACGCATGTGCGTAAGGCATTGGCTTAACGCTTCCTATTGGCTTGGTCTTGTGACTTCACCTTGTGACTTCACCTTGTGATTTGCGGCACAATGCAGACAACGCATACAACGCAGTCGACGTTGACCTCCTTCGTCTTCTTATCTCCTAAATAGCTGCCTAGATCTACCAAATGTCTATATTCATATATTTTACCTCAAGTTCAGGAACTTATACTGCTCGAGCTATGTATCTTGACATACGGCCTCCATGAAGCCTAGCTTCGCTATGCGCCTGGCTGCTGTACTCACTTTGTTGTCTCCTCCGGAGTTGTTTCTGGTCGCGCGTTTCAACAGCGTCGACTAATCGCTCCGGGGGGTCAATATGTTATCGGAGACAGTGTGTCAGGCCATTATCGACAGCCGCCACTCCCTATCTCCTCGGCCTCATCGGAGGACATTAGCTCAGTTACTGGCTTCATTGCTTTGGGCGATTCCTAGGGCGATTCCTATAGTGCTGGAATTGGCACCGGCGTAGATGGCAAGGAGGATGATTGTCAGCAGGGTTTAGGTGCCCATAGTGTTTTAATCGCTTCCGATTTGTTGGCCGGTCAAGGCGGACGGAATTCTACGACGTTCCAATTTCTGTCTTGTACAGGAGCCACGACCCAAGAGATTCTGTCCAGTCGTGACGGCAGTCATGATAGCCAGATCGACGCTTTCAACGCTTCACTACCAGTAGACTTTGCGCTGTTGTCAATCGGTGGGAACGATCTTGGCTTCTTTGACGTAATGAATGCATGTGTGTTTCGCTTCTACAACTTCTACTCTGGTACCTGCGAGACAGCGCTTAAGAACACGCGAGATCAAATCGAGAGCGATGAATTCGAACACCGCCTGGAGATCATCATCATGGAAATCCTCGACAAGGTCCGTTGGGAGAAGAAGCCCTCGTTCACAATTACGGTCACGGGATACGCCCGGTTCTTTAACGATGTCACTGACGACTGTGACGAGATGAGCTTTGGCGTCTGGTGGCGCGGACCGAAGCTGAGAAAGGATCTGAGGAGTCAGATGAATACAATGGTACTCACGGTCAACGCCAAGATCCACAAGACCATCAACACGATAAACTCGCGGTTTACCAAGGATAAGGTCATCTTTATTGATTATGACAAGGGGTTTGATGGTCATCGGTTCTGCGAGGAGGGTGTGAAAGAGCCTGATTACGACCGTAAAGATACGTGGTTTTTCCTCGTAGGCGGCCCGGATAACGCCAGAAATGGGACCCGATCAAATCATATTTCTGACCTTCAGACATTGCCCCCAACATCGGCTCTGGTTGACCCATTATCATGTCTTGAGCCCGCGCAAGCATCTGGGGATTGGGGCCGATTGGCTTTGTGTTATATGGCTATGGCGAAGCATCGAAACCCAAACTTGCAGCTTGCCCGCGGAGACTTGGTTGCTGAGAACTCGATGTGGTACGTCCCAACATATTACGGCAAGACGTTCCATCCTAGGTCTCTTGGCCACGAGGCCATGAGAAATAAAATTTATGAGGTATGGCAAACACTAGAATAGTTGGCTGGTTTGGCATCTTGTTTGCAATATTGGTATGTACAGTGCCGAGTGCTCATTCTGATAACTACGTACATACTTTCTGCGCTACGCCTCGTAGAATAGAGCTTCCTTAAAGATGACGACGTCCCTTCGTGGTTGCTTTTTAGAATGTCACCGTTCGAGTTACTAGCTCGCCTGATTTTACATCTGTAGTTGGATACTCCGAACTGGTAGTTGCTTCACGGCTATTTCTTGAAGAGCTCGTCTTATTACCAAATATCCCACGTAGTCTGATCTTTATTTATAATATATTGTGACCGAAAAGGTCTGTTAGGCTGAGTATAGTATTTGCGGGGAGGAGCATAATAACCAATTACCTGTGCCGGTCCAGCCAATGGATATAATTTGTTTTAGGGGTCTTCAGAACAGTGTCTTAGTATGCCCAATTAGATACAATATATCCAACATACATCAATAAACATCTTCTTGAAGGCCGAGGGAGTGATAGTAATAATCTTGTACCAGTCTGAGTGACTGAACTCCTTTCACAAGAAGGGGCCTCCGGTATGCAGACTTTCACAACTGTCTCCACTGAATGATAGCCTATTCGAAGGATAGGCCGAACAAGCAATAGCTTAGAAACACGGACCCGAAATCTGGCCTGTAAATCCTTCAATTCCTCTAGGTAGCCGTTAGAATGCTACCAATGCACTAATAGACTAGCAATGGAGGGTTGGCCTGAACAAAGATGATTCATTGTATTCGGTCTTAGACGACCAGACCAATACTGGACCGGATCTGTGGTAAGTCTCTCGACTCGATCTGATGAAGACCTGCTGTCTGAAGCTGTCCTGGAGCCCTTGGCTCTATCACCTGGCCGTATCCGCATTGCCAGTCATTCACGTTGGGCGTCATCGGCGCCCAGCGTGAGCCTCGCCTGACCTACTAACACACCCTCCGGCCTCACATGGCTCACCAAAGACCTCGCGCCAATTTTCGACAGCGCGAATGGCGGCGACGGGCAATTTGGGGGTTGTCTCTCGTCAGCGTAAGAGTAAGAGTAAGAGTAAGAGTAGTGGTCATTGCGCATTCCATGGCTGCGCTGGAGGAGGGCCGTGTCTGAATAAATTATGCTTCACCGTCTATTCTAGCTGACGCTCTCCATGGTATTACCGGGTGAAGGGTATGGCCTGATGATTACTGGGGAATGCTTACAGACAACTGTTTACCACTAGGCTCGTGGGGAACCTTAGCTATCATGGTACATAGTATGCTCTACTATGACCAGGCATCTCACGGACGAGACGGACCTTTGGGCTGGGGTCTTGACCAGCCCGATGGCGGCCACGGGCCTGGAATTCCCGTGTTTCATAATTTATCGCATCTCGTAAGGCGTCTGGAAACACGATGTCGGGCACGTCATCGGCGTTAGTTTAATTTCTGCCTCATTGCTTCGAGGTTATTCCCAACATTTCTCAAATCCTATGCGATATGCCCATACGTATCGATCGAGGCCTCATACTATATTATACTAGACTAGACTATACTATGCTTTGCACTATACCATTTGCACTTTGCGATTCAATGCGATGTCTGTACTGACGCGGCACAAAGGTACGTAGTCGGTTGACCTGCCTAATTAGGGGTTAATGAGAGGCGAATAAAGCAGGGGTACGCGGTCAAACTCCAAGGCAGATCGCGAATCAACGGTGAACTTGGAAGATATCATTTCTTAGTATGATAGCGTATGTGTGTTATGGCAGTATGGTACTATGTATGTTAGTAGGAATTTGGAGAATTACTACTAATGTGTGATCAAAACTGGCATGGTACGACTCTGGAAAAATGCGATTCCTGCCAATGGAAAACGACAAAAAAGTCATGGATGGCCCTGGATCGCCGTGCTGCTGCTGTTGGCCGAAGTGGCGACGATAAGACTACGGATGCGGCCCCATACCGGAAACTGAACTTTACCTCTCTGCTCTGCTGGGAAAATGGTCTGCAGTGGCTTCATCCCGCCAGGCGCCCGGCTTATGTGGTTCATTGCCGGACTGGCAGACTGGCTCGTTTAATTAATTAAGCCAGAAATGGGCGCGTCGAGTTGTACGACACTGTTTTAAGGCTGTTCGGGATAGATGATTCACATACATAGCTCGTACTTGAAATTGATCGGAAACAAGAATTCGATCGTGTCTGAGTACGTAGTAGTACGTTTTGGTAGTTTAATTAGAAAGTTGAGTCAGATCGAGACAGCGAGGCTTTAGTCTAAGACGGGCCTAAGGCGATCGTCGGAATTGGGAATGGAGTTTAATGGGACCCGGCTGTCAGGCCATGCTAGGTATCATGGCTCATTGTATTCTTGGTTTATTCTTGGTTTTACTAGTCCGGACGTATCAAGATGGCGCCGGCAGATGTGGAAGTCTAAGGTGCTAGGACGGTAGGTATTGAAATTCAACATGTTCGTGCCAACTCTACCCCTTTTCGTATACGGACCAGACTTTCGGGTATTTAGACAAATATAAATACTAAAAATCGAAAAAGTCCATTCTATTGTCAAGGGTAAAGAATGAGCGCATTGGATATTGAATACCTCAGTTTACATAGTGCCATTTACATTTGATACATTTGATATTGCGTCTAAGATGCGTACATTAGGTCGAGTACCCGATAGCACTTATCTCAGTGAACTCAGACCAGTGACGCAAATTTCGTTGTACCCCTCCCGCCACACCTTTTTTTAATCAATCACATCTCCAACCTACCCCCCCCACGAATTTCGCATTTTTGGTCTAAAGTAATTTAGGCAATTTTTGCCATAATTAATTATTTAATATTAAAAACAATATTAAAAATAATATTAAAAATAATAATATTAATACGTTTAAAGTAAATTTTAATTAATTTAAAATATTTATTAATTTTATTATTAATAAATATACGCATTTTAAACATTTAAATACATGCGTTTTAAGCGTTTTAAAGCTGTAATATTAGTTGTAATATTAATTATAACACCGGTTATAACGTTTTTAAAAATATATTACGTTAAAACTTATAACATTATAATATAATATTGTATAAATATGTAAAAAAAATAAAAAAGTAAAAAAAAAATAATATTTACTTTAAATCATAAAAATAAAAGCTATTTCGTACGTAATTATAAATATAAACGCGTAAATGTAAATATTAATATAATATTTTTAATATTATTACGTATTTTTAAACATTAAAGTTTATAATATTATAACGTAATACCGTATAAATATGTAAAAAAAATAAAAAAGTAAAAAAAACATAATATTAATTTTAAATTATAAAAATAAAAACTATTTTATACGTTATTATTAAATATTAAATCATCGTAAATATAAGGTTTAATTTTTAAAAGGATTATTTCAATTATGGCTAAACACGCCAGACATGTTTTAGACTAGAATTCGTTAAAATTCTGGCTTTGTGTTACCTTTTTAGGCCTTAGGCCTACAGATACAATGACACGGACCAGGCGTTCTATGGCGCCTGTGGCGCAATCGGGCGTAAGCCCGATTCAACGAATTCTAGTCTGAGTTTACTGAGATAAGATAGCACAGGATAAGACTAAGACAAAGTTCGAAATGGATTACTACTGTATGATAGGAAAGATACATTGCACTATGTACCTGTTATGCACCTCTTATGCAGTAACGCACATAATTAACCTTTTATAGCTTGCCAAGGTGGTATGAAGTTAAAGGTATCACTCTGATTGGCTAGACGCGCTCCTCAGGCATAACAAAGGAGAAGCCACGGCGACGCGCCTTCGCGTTCCAATCACTTCTCTTCATCTTCTCAATCCTCAAACACTTTGCAGCAAGTACGCGCGACCTTCGCGACCAATCATTTTCACTTTATCTCGCCAATTTTAAACACTCGTACCATCTTCAGCTACCTACCTACCTTCATTTTGCATAGTCACCAACTATACAAGCTGAGAAAGAATCTGAAGAATTTTTGGGGAATAATTAGTGCGACGCAGCCCTTTCAAGTCCGAGTCCCAAGTCCCAATGGTACATTAGGTACATACCTACCTAAAGGTTGTTTGCTTCGCATTCCTGGGGATCGTTTAACTCCGCCCTTATCCTCACCCTCCTCGGCTTCTGCCATAGTAGCAACCATCATCATTATCACCCGCCGTTGATAGGTTATCCTAATTACAACCAATTGATATCTGATATCTCTTGCGCTACCACAGTAAACACACCCAGATAACCTCCAAACAACTCCAACAAACAAGATCTTCACAATTACGAGCATAGCGTTTATCTCAGTAGCTCAGACTAGATTCGTTGAAAATCGGGCTTACGCCCGATTGCGCCACAGGCGCCACAGAACGCCTGGCCCGTGTAATTGTATCTGTGGGTCATAGGTGCGAGTTTCAACGAATTCTAGTCTGAGACAACTCGGGCGTTTTTGGCCACGTCAAGACAGGTCCTTTTAAAAATTAAACCTCATATCTACGATGACTTAATATCCAACAACAACGTACGAAATAGCTTCTATTCTTATGGCTCGGGGCTAGTATATTGTTTTCTTTACCTTCCTATCTTTTTTGCATATTTATACGGCATCGCGTTGTGATATCGCAGGCCTCGACGTCTAAAAACACGTAATAACATACCAAAACAATACCAACACCCACATATACACCCACAACCACATATAAAATATTTAGTTTTTTTCAATCCAAGGCTAGTATAATGGATTCCCAAGCCTTCCCGCTATTTTGCATGCCTGTACGGCATCGCGTTGTGATATTATAGACCTTGACGTCCGAATTGGTGATATATTCCCAAAAACGTTGCGACCGGTGTTGCGACCGGTGTTGCGACCGGTATTGCGGCTAATCATCACCCCGGAACGCTCGGAACGCTTAGAACGCGTATATTTAAACGCTTAAAACGCGTATATTTACTAATGATAAGGTTAGTAAATGTTTCAGATCAATTGAGACTTACTTTAGCTATTGTTTTCAATGTTATTTTTAATACTGAATGAGATGATGTGCCAAAAATCGCCCGAGTTGCCTCAGACCAGAGATGCGAAATTCGTGGGGGGGGGGTAGGTTGGGGATGTGATTGGTTAAAAAAAGGTGTGGCGGGAGGGGTACAACGAAGTTCGCGTCACTGGTCTGAGTTCACTGAGATAACATAGCGTTCGCATCCGTTCAGCTATCTTGTTATCCTGCACAGCCCATCCGGCAATCGCAGGTTAAAAAAAAGACCAAAAGGCAGGGTTCTGGCCTGCTTCGAGACGGCACAACTATCAAAACTGGCCAACCATAGCACGTGCAGAAGCACATCTTTGCAAATTCCCCCACTCCGTAGAAACTAGGATTCTTCTTGACATTCCTTGCAAATTGGTCCGTCAAGTCTTGTTTAAAACAAACCTTGTTAGCACTTGTCATGGTCGTGTCAGCCCACGACGCTATCGACCAATCCCATCTTGCATTTTACCTCCATCTTCCCATCTTCCCATCCGCACATCCACCGGCGGGTCTACCTAAGTGGATCTTTTGCTGAGCTGGCGTTCTGCTTTCTGCCAATCCTGGCACACTCTATGCTACTTCCATTAACCCTATTCGGTCTTCACTCTGCTCCCCGGTCCTGGTTCAATCTATTCTCTGCGTGCCGACCCTGCAGCCTTCTTAGGCTTGACACACCCTCTCTTCGACTCTTTTGCTAGTCGGTCTTGACCCAAAAGACCCAAAGGCATTCCTGTGCTTCTATTGCACCTGTAACGCCTGCGTACCTAAACTAGCAATAGGTAGTCCAAGGTCGCGGAAACCATTCAGTATCTCGATCCCCCACGAACCGGCTCTCCCCATCTCCTCCATCTCTTCCATCTCCTTTCCATCCCCTCTTCTTTCTCCATCGTTTCCCTCCATCCGTCAGCAACCTTCTCCATTACTACCATCTACGATATCAATGACAGCATTACAGCCACTATTGTGTATATCGTTATTTGAACTTTACGACAGCGGTTCACTTTTGAGACCTTCTATGCGTTAGGCACGACAAGTGCCTGATATCTGGCGCGCCACAGGCAACCCTTGCTTCGTGGCTCCACAGCTAATTAAAGTCACCCACCGTGAGTTCTCACTGAGTACTAGATCGTTCCATTTTCACCAATCTCTCAATCGTTACGCAGCCCAAGAAGCGGGAACAAGAACCTGAACTTACAAACGAACTACACTTTAAGTCACACATTAATCGTATCTATATCCTAACCGATATCAATAGCAACTATAATAGTATTGCCGAGCGACGAACAACGCAAAAACATTGGCCAATATGGTCAAACCATCGCTTTTGTCGGCCAACTCTGAGCCACTTCACATATTTCAAGATGACTACCTGGACCAGCCCGCCCCATCTATCAGCCGGGCACCGATGCCCTCGGTTAATAAACAGCAATCTCCTCGCCGGGCTCTACAGAGCTCAAATGGAAACGTAATATTTAACCCGCCCAATGCGCACGCGAAACAACATTCACCGTTTAAGGCAACCGGGCGCACCACTTCCTCCCCGATGACACCGCTCAGATCGCATGGCAGCAAGCTGAATGCCGTATCGATACTACCGCCGGCGTCCCATGGACAGACAACAGATTCGATGCAGAAGAAACAGCCGTTAATGTCGAGATTTAAGACGGTTGTTCAAAAGCCGCTAGTGGAAGCAAACGCAGGTTACGGAAAAGAGAATGTTCATCCTACGCTATATCCCGCGCCGTCTACCTTCAATCTGAGCCTGGAGAACTACTATCAGAATGCACCGCCCAGGAAGCGAGCATTACTCGAAGCCGCCCCAATTCAGGACTCGAGACCCGCGAAAAGGGCCAAGCTGGAAGAATCTCCCTTACCGCCACACGATTCCTTCCCTGCGATTGAGGACACTGGCGCGAAACCATCATATAGCTATGCTCAACTGATTGGAATGGCAATTCTACGTGCCCCTCAAAGGCGACTTACACTCTCACAGATCTACAAGTGGATTTCGGATAACTTCTCCTTCTATAACGCTCAAGATGCGGGGTGGCAAAATAGCATTAGACATAATCTCTCCCTCAATAAGGCCTTTATCAAACAGGAGCGACCAAAGGACGACCCGGGCAAGGGCAACTACTGGGCCATAGAGCCTGGAATGGAGCATCAATTTATGAGAGAGAAGCCGAGCAAGAAATCTACAACAAACACGGGAAACCCCCCTTTTATGTCCAGTCGGGTTGAGCCTCCGCGCATTGAGCCTACTAGTTTCCATGATGGTCTACCTTCTCTACCTCCAGTGCTCCCAGCACAACCGAACCCATATATTCATGATTCGATGGTATCACAAGACCTAGGTCAAGCTGGACCTGAAGTCTCGTCTGATGCTACTATTCCGCTATCCGATAATATCGGACCAGAAGAGCAACCGGACAAGAGCCAGGAACAAGGGCAACCTCCGGAAAGTGGCGCATATTCTCCTCTCCCTCCTGCTATACATTCATCGCCCCCGATTCCTCGTCGAATGGAAGCCCGGAGCAATACTCCGCCTCCAACTAGGAGAGAGCCTCCTTCATCTGGCCCTCACAAGCGTGGCCACGGGCGCAAGTACGCTTCGATGGACGCCTGTATGGATGATAGTGGATATATCTCGTCCTTGGAGTCGTCAGCTATGCGCCCTAGAGGTAATCGAATCCTTAGTTCGGGAGCTGATCGTCCCCGAATTAAGCGAGGACGTGCCGAAGAAGAGATTGCGCGGCTTCGTGCCTCATCCTATGATAGTCCTACTAAGGGACGCCCTTTTGAGTTTGCCCCTCCCTCTTCATCACCACTAAGACGGACAAACGGCGCTGGTCAGATGTTACCTCCTTTGACACCCGCTGTTAAAATAAAGCCGCCCCCGAAGCCTCCTGCTTCCGTTTCGCCCAACACGAACCTACGCATACACAGGGACAATGTTAGGTCCATGCTTAATTCGCCTCTTCGTCGTGTCAGCAACATAACTGAGGATACAATGCCGTGGAGTCCAGCATTCCAAATAGACGATTCGCTGTTTAACTTTAACGATTTCGTCACGGACCCCGCTGAGTTTGATATATACCAAGATCAGTCCTTAGATCAATTCTTCGGTGCTGCGGATAATGGCTCCCCCTTGAAGCGTTCGGCTAGGAGGGGTCGCCTTGACCGATCTATATCTACTAGTGTCCTTAGTGACCTCACGAATTCTGCATCGAAACGGTCGATTACGTCGGCTCCCTTGCTGAAGGCACCGGCTTCAACAACCCCCCTGTCGTATGAGACTCCAAGTAAGGTGTTCGAAGACATATCCTCCCCTAGTAAAATATTCTTGCAATCTCCTATAAAGAATGTTTCTTCTACGAAGAATAACTGGATGGGCCTGGAAGACTTTTGCACCTCCCAATTCTTCGAGGACGATGCGGACGAGGGTACAGGTATAGATATCCTTCAGGGCTTTGAGAGAATCAGTGGTAGCCAACCTCCTCGCGGTCTACCCGCTTCCTCCAAACCCTCGAAGCCGGCTTTAGGTCGTAGTTTTACGACCAAATTTTAACGCGCCTGCGCTGCACCCCTAGGGGTGGCATATTATCACATTGATGATGATTACGAATAATGACCTCATTGCATCTCGGATATCTTCGATTCGACTGCGTTAAATACGCTGCCTACCTTCGACGAATATAGACCTTTTCGCCTACCTTCTTGCCCCGCGGCCGGCGTTCTTGCCTATTGTTTGATATCATAATGACGACACGTGTCAAGTACATATTTCACCACAACGCCTACATAATGAGATCTGGATTTTCTCATTTGCTTTTTGCTTGGGTTTTGTCTGGCGCAGATTCAGGGTAGACCATCTTCATAGTCTCCCCTATACACGCGCCCTTTAGCCTATGATCTTTAGTGGATTACGCGGAAGCATGCGATAAGGCGTTGGTTGGATGGAATGTCCTTGAAAAGAAAGGAAGGCGGGGAAATCAAGGAATTGTGTTGAGGCATGGTGCCTCCGGAGGAGTTTTGCGAGTTGGAGAGACCCATACTCGGTTGAGATGGGATATGTTGCTCTAGTGATAATTTTTCTACTTTTTTTGTTTGCGAGGACGGACGGACAACTAGGATAGCCCATGTACGGCGGGACAATCATTGGAGTTAGGGTTCATCTTGCGATGCTTTTCTATCAGTACCTACTTATCTACGTAGTACTCAGTCCGGTCTTATACCGCAACTTCGACCTCCTTTTTTTCATCTGAACCATTTTCGATCCGTAGAATGGTTTCTATTTCTCTTGTGACTTGTGCTGTAGAATATGCTCGCATGCTTAGACTAATACGATACTCTTGTCACGATGTCACGATGTTCCGAAGGACTGTGTATAGCTAGCTCATGGTGCATACAATATATTTACTTACGATGGGGGTATCAATCGGTGATGCAGTTATAATTACACGGGCCTACCATGACGAAATCCGCGAAGAAGCCCAAGTCTATCGTAGGGGGATCAGATTTCCCTGAGCGCCGTTTCCCAGTCCAGAAGTTACAGGTAGTTAACATGAACGCCTTTCCCCTTTCCCCTCGCTCCGAATATTTTTGGTGCTCGCTGTCCCCTTTCCTTCACTTCCCCGCTCGTTGGTTCACGATGCGTTGTGTTACCGTTGCCATTATAGCCTCCGCTCCCTCCTTAGTTGTTAGTTGGTTGGCTAGTTAGATATTCCCGCCTCGACTAGCCTATGCCCGGATTCTATGCGTGTCCTGTTCCTGCGCCTGCCTATGTATGTATGTATGTGCATATCCCGTATTCGCCTACGCAGCCATATATGTCTCTTTCCCCAGCTACAGCATTTTTATTGTTGATGTTGATGTTGATGTTGATGTTATCCGACAGAGGGCCCTAAATAAGTAGTATTGGCTTCAATACCTAGTATATGCCAATTCGGGTGGCCCAGCCTGCGTCCTTTTGATTCACGTTGATTTGGTAGGGGAAGGGGTTGGCTTCGCTGGTGGTTATGGGCGGGATGTGGTCTTTGTGGGTGTTGACGCTGGTTACGATCTTCATGACGCTTGTTAGGAGGGTTTGCTCCATGGCTTTGCGGACTTTGGCGCGTTCTGTGTGGGCTGCTTGTTAGCGGATATAATCTACGTTTTATTTTACTATAGTATTTCATAAGGGCAGCTTGTGAGGGCTGAAGGGATTGTATGTCTAGCGTGGATAGCTAGATAAAGGGAGAAGTGTTATAAGGGATAGATAGATAGGGGGGAGGGAGACAAACCGCTCTCTGTGCGCGGTTCTGCTACGGTGACCTTCACCGTCCAGGATTCCCAGCAAACTTCCTCGTCGCCGCCGCCGTAGGGAAGATACCACGTCTTGCGGCGCTTCTTCTCGAAGAACTGGACCGAGATGTTACCGCGGCCGCCGGCGCTACGGTGGGAATGCGTGTGCGAATGTGTTCGTTCGGCATCGAGTTCGCGCGCGAGCTCAGCGGCACGCTTCTCGATCATAGTATCCAGCTCGGCATCTTCGACGTACGGTAGCGTGATATCGAGGACCTCGCGCGAGCGCGGCAACAGCGACGGGAAGAACCGGTGGAAGAAGATGGTGTGTAAAATTCCTGTGTTGGGAGTTCTACGCGTTAGCCTATGTAGACATATATTTATAGGTAGGCAGATCTGTGGGGAGAACGCAAAGGTGGATGCGGGATATGGGGATTCAGCTTCGTGGACGACGGCGGATGGATGGATGGATGGACGAGCGAGTGATGATGATAGGTAGATAGACGACAACAACGATGACGGTCGCGGGGCATATGATTGGATGAATGGGGTTTAATACCTCTTACTACATCGCGGACGGAAGCCGGGTCGGCAAAAGCCTCGAGGATGAACTCTTGGGGTGTTTGTTGTTCCATAGTATAGTTTGCCAAGTCGGGGATGGTTATGGGGTTTGTTAGGAGGAAGTTTTTAGGGAACTGTTGACCTTCCCGAGGTCGTCTATCAGCAGACGCCGGCACGATGGATAGATGATCATCAGTCTGATGCGTCTGATGGAGGGGTCCCGACAAAGGGGCTGAGCCGGAGGGGGAAAGACTTGGAACGTGGGGTGAAAATGCACCTGTACAAAGAGTACATGTACTATGTAATTTAGTAGAGGTAACCTCATGCGTCATATTAGCCACATCTATGTAATCCGTATCCTGTGGCTTATACTGGAACATACCTAAAATCCCACACTAGGTTAGCTGCAGGGGGCTGCATACGATCAGGCGCTTATCTTATCAATTGCTAAGGTAAGGCTAGTGTTGGACGACTCGCGCGCTTGGACCGAGGCACACGTCAGAACCGAACCTTATTAAATGTAATTTCCAGGTGAACGGACTGGCTGCAGGTTGGCTGCATACCTCAACTCAAAAGCTCCCCCCAGAGCCTTCCAATACAAGCCTTCCAATGCTAAGGTCAATGAATATATAATATATATCTCAAAACGCCAAAGCCTATGTACTAAAGCCCGTTGATTCTATTTCCGAGGTCTTCCACCCCCTCGAACATTCTTCAGGGGCCCAGCATGATATCAGCTACACGGCGATGGCTCCGCCGTAACAGAACCCCAATAGCCATTGGTGCTGGTGTCATTGGCGCTGGCTACTTAGCCACTCAATATGTCTTGAACAGGATCAACGACGCGCGTGAGCGCATGAGCAGCGATCGTATCGCGAAGGAGAAGTAAGATCGCGTTGTCATTGTCACAGCCTCCTTCGGGAAACCACGAATAAACCCTCTAACAATCCCCTAGCCTTCGACGTCGGTTCGAGCAGAACCAGGAAGACTGCACCTTTACAGTTCTAGCATTGCTGCCGACCGCGACTACGAATATACTCGAGACCATGAACACCGAAAGGATCACGCTCGAGATTCAGCAGATGAAGGGCAGCAAGGCTCTGCGTAATGGTGGCGAATCGTCAGCTGCACCTCCTAGCATTGCTGATACTACTTTAACCGAGGAAGAGGGAAAGAGTATCGCGAGTTTACCGAGCGAGAGTGGCGTATTTACCAGCCAGATGACAATATCGTCTGTGTCCATTGCAGGAGATGGCTCCCAAGATGGCGGTCAGCAGTCTGTACAGAGATTGAGAAAAACGAAGAGACAGCTATGGGATGATTTAACAATAAGCTGTGAGTCCCCTTTTCGAAAACAATTCAACCTATGCTCTCTATTTTTAGGCTAATTACTGTTTCCCTAGCAATAACACGTGCTTTCACTCTCGTATACACTTTGGCCCTTCTTACTATGCTCACGCGGGTCCAACTTAATCTCTTGGGACGACGTAGCTACTTATCAAGCGTAGTGTCTCTAGCAACAGGAACAGCACAGTCGACAATAAGTTTAGAAAATAACGATGATGACAACACGGAGCACACATACGGTAGCGACTTTGAGACGAACCGGAAGTACCTGACCTTCAGCTGGTGGCTGCTGCACCGTGGCTGGGTTGAGATCATGGAGAACGTTGAGGGTGCCGTTCGCGAGGTCTTCGGACACCTTAGTCCCCGTGACCTGCTAAGCTTCGACACCTTCTCACAGCTTACGCTCGAGGTCCGTAAGAAGATGGAGAGCAGGCCAGAAGAGACCAGCGAGTCGAGGCCGGGCTCCAAGTGGTTGCCATTCCTACTGCCCCCTACTAAAATGGAAGACTTTGTCCTCCGGGAGTCGGGTGTCTTGGGTGACAGCACAGCGGCGTCTGCTCAACCGGACGGTTCATCGGCATCGGCATCGGCATCTGCATCTTCGGAGACGCCACTCCGTCGTCTCCTCGACGAGACCTCGGACCTCATCGAGTCTCCTCCCTTCACGCGCGTTTTGACGCTCCTCCTCGACGCTGGTTTCTCTACTCTCCTATATAAGAAAGTACTGCCAGGCGCCTTCCAAACACCAGGAACACCCTTCACCACCCCTCCCTCGACAGACTTAGGAGCGCTAGTCGGTCAGCAGGCGGCCGTGAAGGCTGCCGGCTCAAAGGTTGTTCTACTACCTAAGATCCTATCGGTTCTCACGCGACAGGCCCACGCCATCGGCAATGGCATGCCCAACGAGTACCTACAGGAGATGGAGCAGGTACGCGACCTAGAAGCCTTCGCAGCCGTGGTCTATTCAAGCAACTGGGAGAACGAGATCCAGGACTCGGAGAACCTAGCTGCGGCGCGGGCCGCTGACGAGACGACGAGCAATAGCAATCTGCATGTACCAGAAGGCAGCATCGTGGGTCGGTTCTCGCAGGTCTCTACTCTAGGCGAGGAGAGCATGGTCATGGTCGACCCGTCGCAGTCGCAAATCTCGCAGACGCAGTCCTCGTTCGAGACGGCATGGGAGCGAGCGACGGATCAGTAAAAGTTAGAAGGTGGGCGGCATGGCATGATAAAACATGATTACAATGTGGACTGTGGGTACTGGTGTAATTACCAGCTATAACGAAATGAAATGCACATCGTTGGATCATGCAAGGAGGGACATAATGGGGTTGGATTTTTTTTTTTGTTTTGTTTTTTGCGATGATATATCATAGCGCGTGTATTACGACTGCCGGCTTTTCAAGCAGCTTTATATAGAGGGCTACATACATGTATATACATGTACCAGTACTGCGGATATCGAAGCTTCAAGTAAGCCTCTCGATTCCGGAGGAGGTTTAATGATACCATCTCCAGCTCTTAGCTCCGATACCTTGTTTTGCAGTTTATGCTAACTCCAAATACTTCGTCCGCGTGTACGCGGTGCCGGAAAAGCGATGCGCCTCTACGCTATCCCTCTACCCGCCCGCATATCCTCTCTCTTCTGGGACACTTATCCCCAGCATTGATTAGTTCTTCAGCCTCTAGGCCGATCAGGAATAAACTGCCTAAGGGCCAAGCTCACTCCCTCGGTTAACTAAGGCCGGTATTATACCACGCTGTCTATTCTATATCGTAGCACACCGTCACATTAAGCCTCTAACAAACTTATCTAGCCCCATCTCGAACATCTCGTTCCGCACGCCTTCGCCGCCTTTGTGCTCGGCTGGTGAGAGGGGGTTCTTGACGACTAGGACGTAGTGATGTTAGCATTATTCGGTTTTCAGGGATATGGCGTTCCTTTATCCAGCTCTTTCTTATAATCTCACGACTTCAATGATATCGTAGCTAGATATCTTCAAGTTGTCTCTTGACCCAAACCAAGACCGGGACAAGTCTCTCCCTTGCTTGTCTCTCCCCGCCACATCCTTACGTATCTAAAACACCACAAAAAGTAAAGAAGATCCGGACTAGACTCACCGTACTCGACCCAGAGGTTAATATAAATCTGGTGCAGGACGTTGCGCATGCTGAGGGCGCCGGGCTCGGTGAGCATGGCGAAGCGCAGGTTGGTCGGGGTCTCGTAGTAGTGCAGCTTGTAGTGGGCGGTGCGGAAGGCGATGAAGGCGTCGTCGTCGCCGCCGAGCTTGCGCACCATGTTCCGCAAGCTGAACACGGTGCCGAAGATCAGCTTCGCGTCATTCTCGTTCTTCCTCCGGGTGATAGCTGCGGCAGCGGCGGCGGCGGCGGCGTTTGCGGGGGGGTTCGTCGTTGATGGGGGTGCGGAGGACGGCCCTGTTGTTATGGTGGTCGTTGTTGTTGTTGCGGCGGCGAGGGACGGAGGCGGCTGTTGCGATTGGGGCCGCGATGGGGGCGGGCCGGCGATGCTGGATGAGGGCCGGGGGACCCAGAGCTTCGAGTATACGCACTCGGCTGCGCGGTGTTTGGGGATTAGTTAGGTATTTACATAATAGAGCTAGGGCTACGTGTAGCCATCCAGGATCGAGGTAGTCTCACTATGGCGGTCGAAGATGTAAAACGAATAGACCTGTATAGGCATGGCTGCTAGTAGCTAACTCCAGCGCGGGTCGCAAGCTGGGGAAATCACATGCCCGTGACGGACGGACGAGAGTGGGATAGGGACTGAACTGGACTGGACTGGCTTTGCTTGTTGCTGTTGCGGTTTGACGATGCAGGTGCTAAAAATAATGGGAACAACTATTACGAATTGGGAATTGGGAATTGGAACGGCGGCCGGCAAGTCGGCACATTTTACAATCTACATACGCACTTGAACCAATATTTGCGGGCCGGTCTAGGGAGGGTCTAGCCTTCTTGCCTTGAATCTTCAGAGCAAGACTAAACTTGCCTTACCTTACAGTAGCACTTACAGTAGCGTTTGCTATCAACTAATGTACATGTAAGACATCTAAAAGTACCTAATATTTTAGTTATTTTTAACTAGTTAACTACCTACCTAACTAATAAAACATTGAAACTACATACCATCAACCACGTAGCAATTGGAAAAGGGGCCACCGCCCAGGTTCCATTCTCAACAAGTGTTCCTATTTCATTCAATTACCGGCATTATCCATTTAGGTATTCAGCTGTTCAAGGGTCGAGCATGCTGTCGTGTGTCAAAACGTGTCTGCCAAAGCTCTTATCTTCCAGTTGTTAGCCCTGTAAACACCTCGAGCCCCAGCGGGGATGTGATGCAGCAGCAGCAACAGGGGTCATGGAAGTGCAGTTGGGGGCCATGATTCGCCCAATCGCCGAATTAGCTGCTTTTGGGCTGAACCTCTTTTGAAATCCATTGTGCCGGGGTCCGGGTGAGTGAGAAGAAGGAATGGTGCAGAAAGATACCTAACCGTTGCATATGTAAAAAGCCATCATTTCTACTGTTTTACCTATCTAACATTTAGCTTTTTACTGTTCATGTTTCTCTAGTTCTTCCTCTCTTATTTATGTTAACAAATTACCTAACATAGAGAGTCATGCGCTAAGAACAGAGTCGACTCTTCAATATCTGATGTTCGTCATTCCCTCGAACGGATAAACGAAACCGCCACGATGCACACCTCATCTAACACAGCCTCGGCCACCTCTACGCCAGCGCCTAAGGAACTTATCGAATCAGGAGGATTCGAAGAGCGACTATTCGATAGCACGCATAGCTTGCCCCTGTCTCCGCATATTACGATCCAGCAAGATGCGGATGGGTTCAATCGACCGTCCTTTGCCCCTCACTTGTGAGTCTTGGAAGCATATTATATAAGTCGAGACTTCGCTTCGCCGGGTTTGCCCCGCGATTTGTCTTGGCCGTCTAGCGGATTGTATGTATGTGGATGTGTGGCTAAGACATCGAACGCTTCGCCTAGGTCTGCACCGCCCGACGTATCTCATTTCCAAAGCCCCATGAGGCATCACAGGCGGACGCCGTCTCAGCATCGCGAAGTGAAGGTCCGTAGAGAAAGGGATGAAACCTACTACGCCGTCGTGAACTGAGATCCCGTCGCAGGAAACCCTCAATGCCAAGACCGAGTATACGAACGATGAGACAGATGGTAGGTCGCAACAGACCATCAACCAATACACCATTCGAGAGGAGATTGGAAGAGGTTCCTACGGTGCCGTACATCTTGCTACCGATCAATTCGGAACCGAATATGTAAGCGCACGCGGCCGGTTTCGGGTTCATGGGTTCATGAAGCCATCTAACCACTCCTCGCATAGGCTCTTAAGGAATTCTCAAAATTGCGCCTCCGAAAACGAGCCCAGTCGAATATCTTAAGAAGACCCGAAGGTGGGAGGCCGCGATCACTTGGTCCGGGACAGGGTCTTTACAGCGCCCACAGAAAACAACTCAGCCATCATGAAATTGCCGAAGCAAAAGATGCCCTCTTTCTAATACGAGAGGAAGTTGCTATAATGAAAAAGCTCAACCATCCTAACTTGGTACAGTTATTCGAGGTATTGGATGACCCTGAAAACGACTCCTTATACATGGTCCTAGAAATGTGTAAGAAGGGCGTTGTTATGAAAGTCGGTTTGGACGAGCAAGCAACTCCCTACGACGATGAACAATGTCGTTTATGGTTTCGCGATCTCATCTTGGGCATAGAATACCGTAAGTTCATATCAAGGTACGGGTCCTGTCGCATGTCCACTAACTTTATATTATCTTAGTACACGCTCAAGGTATTATACATCGTGATATCAAGCCCGACAACCTCCTACTAACAGAAGACGATGTACTCAAGATCGTCGACTTTGGAGTGTCCGAGATGTTCGAGAAACCGGGTCACATGATGACCAGCAAATCTGCAGGCTCTCCTGCTTTCTTACCGCCCGAACTTTGCCAAGCCAGGCATGGTGATGTACCGGGCAAACCAGCGGATATATGGTCCATGGGGGTTACTTTGTACTGCCTCAAATATGGTGGACTACCTTTTAAGCGGGACAATGTGCTGGACATGTATGATGCGATCCGTACCGAAGAAATTCGGATACCCTCCGACCACGAAGATCCAAACTTCGTAGATCTCATCACCAGGATACTAGATAAGAACAACGAGACAAGACTGACTTTACGAGAAATAAGAGTAAGTCCACCCATCCCCAGTCTTAAACAATCAATACTAAATCAAGCAGAATCATCCTTGGGTCACAAAAGGAGGCACTGATCCTTTGCTCTCCGAAGAAGAAAACTGTTCAGATGTGATAGAGCCGCCGAATGCCCTGGAAGTTAACCACGCATTCACGCAAAAGATGGACCACCTGATGTGTGTGGTAAGAGCTACCTGTCCCCATAATACCCATTGTCAAAGACTTACCTGAGTTCGACCTTAGTTGAAAGCAATTCGCCTGTTTAAGGGTCTCGTTTCTAAAAGTCGAGTTACGACGCCCGAGATTAAAGTACCTCAAATATCTCACGCGCCAGAACCCGTACAAGAGGCCATTCCGCAAGATACAGAAACAACCACACCCTCGATTGCAGAAACCTCGACCATCGCGCAATCGACACGTCAAAGATCGATCGCGGAAGAGGCTGCGGAGCTTGTCAAGCAGCGCAGGGCTTTCCTTGCAGCTCAAAAGCACGCATTGACTCACCCACTGGCATCGCCCGGGGCAGAAGAGAAGGGCCATGCTCACGACATAACGGATAGGGCACCGCTTTTCTTAGGTATCGGCACGGGAGGACACGACGGATTCACTGCCTCTGAGACTGCGGCTGACATCGTGTCTGACTCGCCTACCGGTATCGATTTTGATATCTATGACCGTGCTTTCGAGACGGAAATCAAACGTATCCGTTCCGATAAGAAGAAAGGCCGGGCTAGGACCTATCTCACGAAATTTGTAGGGCCTCAAGAGAGGGGCAAGTATACCAGCGACGATTATATGGTATTGGAAGCTTCGAAGTCACCAACCTCCGGTTCGCCAGCTTCAGGAGGGGAGTTAAATTTTATAGACAGGACGATAGAGCGTGTGGACCGGGAGGGGCATGAAGTTCAGGACGGTGCTAGGAAGGCATTCGATGCCGCCAAAGAGACAGGACATAGGTTCGCGAACCTAGTCATGGCCGCAACCAAGGACCTAAAGGAAAAGAATACGAACTAGAAGTACCTAACGCTTAGTGAGCATTCCGAAGTCTCCGGGCGGGACGAGCAGCGTAAGGAGGAGGCAAAAAGGGGTTATGATATTTCGTATTCAAACCGTCACGATATGACGCGTCACTCGCTCGCGAGTAGTTCCCCTCTAGGTTGTTAGTATATCCACCTGGGTAATAACAGAAGCAAAGGACGATAGAAGCGCCGTTGCGTATATGTAATCAAGCAGAGCGGGCGTTTCGGACTAGGACGGAAAGACAGGAAAAAGTGGATTTGGGACGGACGGAAACGATTGTCGGTTCTCACCACACTCTCAAATAATAATTCTAGTATTGCGCGGGTTCGCGGGATTGCATGTGATAGGAGAGTATAGGAGACAGGTTAAATAGGTAGGTAGGTACCTAACCTAGACGAGACACTATTCTACATAATGAATGCTACGCGGGTGAGAAGTCATCTAGGTATCAGGTTCGACCAGCCATTATGGTGTCGAGGTATCTACCTATGTAATCCAAGCACTTAATAAGATAGGAGGTAGCCAATAATCAAGCTACAGCGTGGTAGTATCTAGGTACACGTACCCGCCGGGGAATTGATGGGTTGGATTGGCTTTCCATTGCTAAAACTCGGATGTAGCTACCGAAGGGAGTTTGAGAGCTGTTGACTTATTTGGGGCATAACTATGTGAACCACATTTATTATTCTATTTGTCCACCACGCGTACTCACCCACTTACCTAGGTACCTACCTATACCTACCCTTCTCTTCTGTATGTATGTATGTGTGTCTAGCCCCTGGACAAGCAGAGTGATGATACGTATGTACTGCGTAGCATATGCATGGCATGCACACCATCGCGTTACTTGCAGAGGGTTCCCTCGTTGCCGGTTTGAGAAATACTTGCTCAACCTACTTACATACATATGTAGTAGTTGACCTCCCACGTAGGCATGTATATATATATGTATGTTCCGTATAGGTTGGTATATAGGTACCTAGATATATTGATGGATATATTGGCACCGCATGCAGATAGACGCCGTTCCTCACCGCGGGAATAAGCTAGCTCAACTTCCCGCACCTCGGTGCTTGTACATAGTATACGTGGTATACATAGCGTTGACCTAAGAGAAGAGCAACACGGAAGGAAAGGAGGGGAGACAACTGGACAGCCGGCCAGCAGGGAATGTACGTAGGCAAGCCAAAGAAAACGCGAGGTTTCGGGCACGTGTAGGAATTGATGAATATAGTAGGCTAAAAAAAGGGGGAAGACACGATGTAGGCTACGTTGGCGAGGCTGGCGGATGTCTTTGAAGCGGTCATACACCGCTAATCATCCATTTGGCTATCAATCGCCGATATGTCTCATAATAGGGACAGACAGGGGGCAAGGCTGTTTATAGAGATGAGGGATATAGAGATCGATCTAGCTTTTTATTAGTAGGTATTCCGGGGGGAGGGGGGTATCCAATATCAAACTTGTCTAGGTTATTTGTTTGTTTTTATGTGCTTGCTTGTCTGTTGGAAGAAGACTCACAACTATGTAAACCCTAGGGCTATCGTCCGCCTCGTGTTTTGGAGACTGGAGACGTCCCCTCCGCCCCTCCTATGCTATCCTTTTCATCTCCCCGTTTCCCTCTATCTGCTTCTACTCCTCTTTTGTCCTGTACC